GGGGGGGGGGGTCACAGCTCCCAGCTCCGTGCCTGACCCCAAGTGGGCGCCCACGGAGTGGTTGCTGGACGTATTGGGAGAATGAATGAACAAATGAATGAATGACTAGGTCTGAGAAGTAGGCCTCCGGGTAAACCAGGGTGTGGCCCAGAACCAGGGCTTCCTAGGAAGCCAGCAACCCCAGCTGGCCGCCCCAGCCCTGAGGCGACCTTCCTTGAAGAAGGAGAGGTCTCACTGCTTGGTTGGCAAGGTCTCCTGCCTACTGGGCTGAAACCAGCCGGGATCCGCGCTGCCGGGGCCCATTCCTCCAATGCCCCTACCCTCACACTCTCACCCACGAAACAGAGGCCCCTAGGAGATTACACAACTAGTTGCCAAAGTGGAGTGAGATAGGTCATCCCTGCTTTTCCCACCTGGTTCCCCACCTGCACCGTCCTCACTGGCCTCCCTTTGGATGAGGTAGACTTTATTCACTGCCTTTGGCACTTGACCCAGTCTTCCCACTGTTGTGGCTGTGTAGTATGGAGGCTATCACAGGATTCCCAGTTAATATGTCAGCTCCATTGCTTAATAGCTGAGTGCCCTTGGCAAGCTAGTTAACTTTATTCTTACATTTCCTCATTTATAAAATGGTGATAGTAGTTCCCGTCTCATAGAGGTTGTGAGGATTCAGTAAGATTGTAATGTGAACTATTTGGCAGGCAGCAAATGCTGATACATGTAGGTATTATGTCTTTCTTCCCACTGTAATATCTAAAACTTTTTTAGGTGGTGAAACTTTATCCTTGGGACTTTCTGACAGTTGGAAAGTATAGGTTGGCCCAGGGTGTCCTTAACTGAGTATTTGGCTTCTTTCCTACCCTAGGAAGATAGCCAGCCTTATTTCTTTTTTTTTAGGTATATCTTTATTGATTTCAGAGAGAGGAAATGAGAGGGAGAGAGAGAGATAGAAACAGCAACGGTGCGAGAGTCACTGATCGGCTGCCTCCTGCACGCTCCCAACTGGGGATAGAGCCCCCAACCTGGGCATGTGCCCTGACCGGGAATCGAACTCTGATCGCCTGGATCCTAGGTCGATGCTCAACCACACTGAGCCACGCCCAGCCGGGCAGCCAGCCTTATTTCTACCAGGCCCTAGGACTGCTGTCCGAGAAACCATTTACTCCTGGCACAACATTGCCCCTTGGGAGAAGGAAGGATCAGTTTTGCTGAGCCTCTCCAGTCCTGAACACCAGGGAAAATGGAGATGGGCCATAGCGCGTTGTTTTTACTCATTTACTCATTCATTCAGTCATGAATCAGCCAGTGTGTATATTGAGTGTCTGGAAGGGCTGAACTAGGGAATATGGAAATTGCAAAACTATGTTAGACAGCCCCTGAACTGAAACCTAATAAGGAAGGGTGCTAGAGAAAATATTAAATATGCTAGGGAGCATTTCTAAGAATCTGTTTTCCTTTCTTGGATGTTCCATAGAGAAACCCCTGTTCTTTGCATTCTTCCCTAGGTTGTGGTTGATAGGCTCATTTTTCCTCTCCTATCCCTAGGAACATTATACTTTAGTGTTGTTGTTTTTTTTAAAAAAAGACTTTTCCTAATAAATGGGAACTGGTAAATGCTTCCTTAGCAGATGTCACTGAATCATTTTGTGTCGATTTGACATTTTGTTCTTATTCCCTTTCCTAGGCTGCCCTTCCAAAGGCCACCATACTGGATCTTTCCTGCAATAAACTGACTTCTCTACCGGTAAGATTGGCAAGCAAGTACAATTCCTTCTAGAGCCCCGATGCTTCATCTTCCTGTTTGGGGAAGTTGTGTCATAAGGCATAATTTCAGGATAGGCCTGCAGGCAGGTTTCAGCTCAATCTCAGTGTGTTGGGGTGGAGTGGGGTGGTTCGCTTCGGTGGGAAGGGAAGCAAGGTAGGGGCCTCATTTTTTAGAACAGTGGGAAAGTCAGGCCACAGAAAACGAAATTCAATAACCGGATGCTGGCTGAGTCACCTATGGGCTCATCTTTTTTCCTGCCTTATTTTATTACTTTGAAAAATAGTTTACCTCCCTATTGCATAGAGGAGACTGGAGACCTTTGTAAATTGCCTGCATTTCAGAGAGAAAGCTGTTCATAAACAGCCTCCTTGTATAACATTTGATGGGGAACAGGAAAAAGTGTGGTTTTATGGGACTACTGTGTCATTATCCTCTCAGTCTTTAGTTAATATACTTTTTTGTTCAGCACATCCAATCTGTGGTCAAATCCTTTTGATTTTTCATGTACCAGTTCTCCTTTTGCTCCACCTATGTAGGTGCTGGAGTCATTCATCCCTTCAGCCTCTCCTGGGTAATGGCTGCTCTCTCCTCCATAGTAGTGCTCCTTCACAGTCAGGCTTAAGTTTGTTGTAATGATGCCTTTCCCATCATGACCCTGGGCAAGTCACTCCTTGCCATTCTCTATTGAGTTCTGTCTCAGGAATGGAGTCTCAGAAGTTGGTAGTTTCTTCACTGGGTCATTAGTCCATTCCCCTCTCAGTATTCACCTGGGCCTCACTCATTGTAGCATTGTCCTGAAGCCCATCAGGAACCATTTTTAACACTGAAACAGGCATCTGAGATCCCACTTCTTCCAGGAAGTATTTTGTGCCTAATTAAAGAAGGGCAGAATTCCTTGCAACTTGACACCTGCTGTACGCTTTATCAGATGATCACTCAGCACTCCGAAGTGCACTTTTCAATCTGAGTTCAGTTGTCTTGCCTCCCTCTGCAGTGCAGATCTCCTGGTGTAGATCCCCTGGCGTTTACAAGTCCCCAGAGAACACGAATAGTGCCTTGTTAGCTGAGGTTGGAGCATCACTTCAAATTGGTGCTGAGAAAGGCTTAGTGACAAGAGGGATGTTTTGATGTGTGCTGGAGAAGAACCAGGTTATGGGTAGGGTGCCCTTCAGCCCATTACTCAGTCATTTAAAGAACACTCATGGCGCACCTGTGCTAAGTACTGTGCTAAGTGCTACAAAAATAAAAAGAATAACACTGGGTATTCAAGGGGTGCTTGATCTTTTTAGGAAAATGGATGGTCTCTCTGTGTTTTGACCGCTCCTGTCAAAGGCAAACATAGGGTTGTGTCGGAGGACAGAATGGGTCCCCAGTCACTCCAATAACACCTGGTAGCCATGTGGACGATGGGTTAGAGGGAGAACTGAGGGTGAAGGAACCCACACTTATTTTGGGCCTACTTTGTGCTCAGCCCTTTTGCATACACATCTCACTGCTTACCACCAGGAGTGATGCTTCTTATGTCCATTTTCATTTGAGGTGGACTAGCTGGTAAAAGGTAGAGTCAGGATTTACATATAGGTGCCTCTGACTTGGGGGCTTCTGGATTGTTCCATCAGTGTGTAAGCCCCAGGCTTAGGTGTTCTCTCTTTGGGTCCTAGTCGGATTTCTGTGGCCTCACGCACTTGGTGAAGTTGGACCTGAGTAAGAACAAACTGCAGCAACTGCCGGCCGACTTTGGCCGTCTGGTCAACCTCCAGCACCTGGATCTCCTTAACAACAGGCTGGTCACCCTGCCTGTCAGCTTTGCTCAGCTCAAGGTAACAATTCATGAACCAGTGTATGGCAAAGGGCTCAGGGACTCCTGGAGCATGACTTGGAGAAAGGCTGATCGAAATAGGTGCTGCCTCATGGCTTTCCCTACAGCTGGGACATAGGGGGGCTCTTTTCCTACCCATTTTGGGGGACTGTGTGTGTGAACTCAGGCTTAGCCAGCCCCTCTACCCCGTCTCTTTAGAGCCTGAAGTGGCTGGACCTGAAGGATAACCCCCTGGATCCTGTCCTGGCCAAAGTGGCAGGGGATTGCCTGGACGAGAAGCAGTGTAAGCAGTGTGCCAACAAGGTAAGCACGGAGCTCCCCGGTGTCTCCTTCACATACTCTCCTGGGACTTGCCTCTGCCTCCTCTTGTTTTCTCTCCCAGGATACCTGTAGTGTGTGATGATTAAAGTTCTAAGGTCTCAGTGGCCTGTGTATACCATGAACCTGTTAAGCAAAGGGACCTTTGTTTCTGTGTTTACTTTACCAGTAGTAGAACAAGCCTATGTCTGCTCTACTGCCGGACTTCCATTCTTAAGAAACCAGGACCTTCCATGATCCAATATTTCATTGTCAACTGTTGTTTGAATGGGACAGGAGGGTTAGGGACGGTCACCTTTCTGAGTCTCAGTTATTATAGGAATTTTGATAATAAAGGTATTATTAATATTTGTGAGTTTATAGCTATAAACAGACATATCCTTTGCAAACCTCGCATTTGATTTCAATTGAGTCATCTGACATAGTGAAGAAACAAAGGCAGCACGGAAGGCAAACATTGCCAGTAACCTTGAAGGTGCCTCACATGGCTCTTAAGAATAGCACTATACCCATCTCTCAAAAACTCCCAACTGTAGTCATTTTTTCCCTTCAGCTTTAGAATGAATTGCTGCTGCTTAAGCTGAGCATCAGATGACTTTGGCTATGCTTAGGGGGTATGGTGAACAAAAAGGCCTTAACTTTATTTACTTATTTATTTTTTTAAATATTTTTTTATTGATTTCAGAGAGGAAGGGAGAGGGAGAGACAGATAGAAACATCAATGATAAGAGAGAGTCATTGGTCAGCTGCCTCCTGCATGCCCCCTGCTGGGGATCGAACCTACAACCCGGGCATGTGCCCTGACTAGGAATCGAACCACGATCTCCTGAATCATAGGTCAACGCTTAGCCACTGAGCCATGCCAGCTGGTCAGAAGGCTTTAATTTTAAGTGCTAGAATTAATGGAAGTAAAATGTGTGAATGATGGGTCTCTATAGAATCTCAAGAGTAGTGGCCTTTTCTTATCATTAGCTCAGGGCTTCTTAGATACTCCCATCATTTGTACCACCCATTGTTACAAGAAACCAACAACAAAGTTAAGGCAACCAAGTGGCCAAGGGGACAGTTTGCCCTTAGCTGAGAACAGTACCAGGTGATCAGTAAAATCCTGTTTTCAAAACATGGTGCTTTAGGAGTGATGTTTGTTTCAAAGACCAGTAGTAGCTACCGTTGACTACTCTCCCTGTGTCCTACATGCTTTGTGTGTTTCATCTCATAATCCTCATAACCCTGGGAAGGAGGTATTCATATCTCTGACATGAGACATCCTCATTGTGCACATGCCTTTCATTTGTCCATTTATTCAGTCAACAAATAATATATTGAACCATATGAAATTGCTGATACTCTACAGTTTGTGACCTATAAAAACTTTTTATTGAGTGCAAAGGTCTTCAGTAGTACTCACATGTGTCAAGTGCTTACTATATGCTGTGGATTGGGATTGGTAGACAAAATCCAGGGGCTCGCAGCCTAGACAGGCTCACAAGGACTGGGTTCCTTGTGGCTTCAAACCAGGCTCTTGGAGGGATCTGCTTTTGCAGGCCTGCTCCTGAGCCCTCTCATGATGGATGTGTGCATGTCTGAAGTTTCCACGAAGGAAAGGAAGTAATTACATTTGAATACATGTCTGTCCTGAAGGGTGTCTAGTGTGGTAGTGAAACAATTTGCTGTTGTAATTTAGAATAGTTTAGGTTTTCCTCTCTTTTCTTATTAATGCCGTTAGGAAGATGAAATAAAAAAGCATTTATCGAGCACATATAATGCCAGGGGTTATGTTAGGCAGCTAGTACAAGTTATGTAATTTAATCTTTGCAACAGGCCAGAAAAGTGTTATCTCTGTTTCCCAGAAGAGAAAATCACCTCAGCAAGATTAAGTCAAAAAAGAAAAGAAAGGTTAAGTCACTTGCTAAGGTCACAGTGGTAGTAAGGAAGTGGTAGAGTCTGGATTGTTGGGCTCCAAGCTTGGACTGTGTCCCCTACATCCAAGGAATACCAGGTTCTAAAAAAAAAAAAAGGTCGTTGGCCTCCTCCCCTAACCATGCGCATTGTGAGAATCTCTGAGGTGGTTTTAGTCAGAGGTCAACAATGACCAAGTTGAGGAGAATTCAAGGGGCTCAGCCACCAGTGCATGGTTTGGTGTTTGGGCAGAATGGCTCATCCCTTTTGCCTCCAGCTCTCCTGCCTCTGCATGAATGAGTGGAACAGGCTCTGGTCTGGGAACTCAGAAGACCTGCACTCCCAGCTGTGCTGCTTCTATCCATGGGACATGGATACATCACCCTATCAGTGTCTCGGTTTTTTGCCTTTTGAAATGGGAATCCAGTCAGTTGTTCATCAAACATCTATTGAGCACCTGTAATTAGCTAAGCTCTGTGCTCGCCTACAGATAGGACAATAGTCCCTACACTTGGGAACTCACAGTTTTATAACTGAGCTTGATAAGAGAAATCCCCAGGACTGGGGGAGGAGAGCCTGAGGTAGCCAGAGGAGGGAGGTCCGGAAAGCGCCTTGGGGGAACTGCTGTCCCTGCGCATCACAGAGTAGTCCCTGCTGTCACAGAGTTGCTGGGAGAATTATGAAATCATGTACATCAGAGACTATAAATGGCAGGGTTTTTACAGTTTCCAGTTCTCATTGTGTTCACAAACTTTGGGCTCATAGACTCTTCTCTAGGGATCAGCACTAAGTTAGGATACAGAGAAGATTAACTCCATTAGCTCTGCACTGCTTCGGTGCCTGCTGTGATCTGGGATCCTGAGAAGAGCAGTCTTTTGACTCCTCTCCCCCAGCAAAGTAGAGAGGTAGACTACAGTGTGGAGTAATTGAGCGCCCTCTGCTGCCGTTGCAGGTGTTACAGCACATGAAGGTCGTGCAGGCGGATCAGGAGCGAGAGAGGCAGCGACGGCAGGAAGTAGAACGAGGTATGTGGCCATTCCTCCTCTAGTCATCTTCTGGGCCCCGATCCCAGCAGCTGGATCTGCTTTAAGAGCTGGAATCCAGTAGAGTCATGTGGAGCAATGGGGAAGTGTGGTGGAAGATAGTATCATTGTCTGACGAATCTCTCTCCAGTCCTGCTTTCTCCACTGAGCTCCAGAGTCACATCCAACTGTTTGTCTGTCTGTCTGCTTGGAGGATTAGTAGGCATCTCAAATTAAGCATGGCTAAAATGGATCCCCTTTAGCCCCTTGCAGTGTTCCTCCAGAACAGGAAATCAGCATCCCTGCAGTCCATTCAAGGTGGAAACTGGAAAGCTGTCCATGATTCCTTTCTATTACTCCTATATCCAGTTGGTCAGCACGCCTGTATGTGACTATTGCTCTACCCCCACCGCCACCTCCATAATTAGACCTCCATCCCATGGACTGCCACAGTACCTCCTAACATGGTGTCCTGTCTCCATACTTGTACCCTCTCTGCAAAGTCATTATCCACACAGCAGCCAGAGAGATCTTTTTAAAACAAATCAAGTATGCTGCTATTTGCTTAAAACCCTCTAATGGCTTCCAATTGAACTGCTTCCAACTGAACTTAGAATGAGACTCAAACTCAGTAACATGGCCATCAAGGCCCGCCAGGGCCCACGCCTGCTTGCTTCTCCAGCCTCGTTCCACACACACACACACACACACACACACTCACTCTCTCTCTCTCTCTCTCTCCCTCTCCCTCTCCCCCCCCCCAATACAGTTAACATTAACCACACAAACCCCTGCTGTTGCTCAAACACACCAAGCATAGTCTCACCTTCAGGGCTTCACTTGTTTTCCTTTCCCTCAGATCTTTCCACAGTTGGTTTCATGTAATCTCTGCCTCTGCTCAAATGTTGCCTTAGGTTAACCTTAACCCTTTCTGAACCAGCCCAACTAGAAAAGCCACCCCACTTGTCGTTCTCCATCACATCCTCCATGATTTCCTCTGTGGTACACAGCACTGTCTTTTTTACTGTTTCTTCACTGGTTTCTTGTTCGTCTCCTTCTGTACAGAGTAGATGACTTGGGCACTAGAGCCTGGCTTGTCTTCACTGCTGTACCTTGAGCACTTAGTACAAGGCCTGGCAACCCGGTGCTCTGTTGCCTGGCTTACCCGAGCCCCTTACTGTAGGACTCCTGTGGTTAGAGGGACATATGTGGGACTGATTGCAGGCAGTCCCTGAGGTCAGAACTCCTGAGTTACAACCGTCCCTTACTATGATGCCACGTTTACTCCAACCGCTGCTGCTTTCACTGCTTGACGGCACATGTTCTCGGAGGCTGTTAGTGTGTTCTTGGCATTCCCAGTACCCAGCTGGGACCTGGAGCCTGTTTGTTCACAGGGAAGCAGTGGAAAGCTACAGTACTCAGAGTACCACTATTCAGCTACATGGTGGTTCAAGTAGGCTTTTAAGCCCTAAAAGGACATTTAGCCACCACTTGTGGCATTCTGGCTTTGGAAAAATGTACTTCAGATTTCCAAGTAACGAATTCGGCAATACATTTTTAGAACCCAATAATTTGTAAGTTGGGGACTGTATGTAAACATCCTTGAGCTGAGAAGTAAATCAGAATGAATTAAGTCTAGACATTACAAACTGTTTGTCTTGCTCTTTCAGGAAAACATTTCCATTGTCTCTAACCTCGAACCTGAGTGCTCACTTTCTCTTCTTTCTTGCCCTTCTCAAGCCACATTCCTTTACGAAGCGTGGGGAGTCAGGAATCCCTCAGATTCAGCACCTCCATTGTTTCTTCTCCTAGAGCTGAGTTGTAGGAGGCTGCTGATCGCTGTGCTATCTGAACCAGTGCCTAGTTCTAGGGGAGCACCAGGCTCATCACCCAGGCCTTATGCCCCTCTCGTAACCTCACCCTAATCTCTCTGCAGCTTGTGGCTAGAAACCCCCTCATGGGTCCATTCAGCAAAGCCTGAGAGCAGTTTATTATATTGTAGGGAGGGCAGAAAGACAGCTGGTTCCTTTATGTGTCGTTGGTGACACAGGGAAAAGGAGGCTGAACCCAATCTGTTAACCACTCGGGAAACACTGGAAGGTGGGGAGAGAAGCCATTTGGGGTGTACTCTCTTGTAGAGGCCGAGAAGAAGCGGGAGGCCAAGCAGCGAGCCAAGGAGGCTCAGGAACGGGAAGTGCGGAAGCGGGAGAAGGCGGAAGAGAAGGAGCGCCGGAGAAAGGAGTACGATGCCCTCAAAGCGTCCAAACGGGAGCCGGAGAAGAAACCCAAGAAGGAAGGAAATCAGGCATCGAGTAAGTTTTCCCTCAGTTGTAATGCTCCGGCAGGGTGCACAGGGGGACGCACGGATGTGTGCAGGCATGGATGAGTGAGCGGGCTTATGAACCTCAATCAGATGCAGTGACCCCCACAGCCTGGGAGCACTTCGGAAGGTTTGCTTACAAGGAATGGGGGACTCTCCTGGGGAGCAGGTGTCTTGTCTGACGGGCTTGTTTCCCCAGAGGCACATGTAAAGTCCCTCACATCCGTGAAGTACACTGGGTGTGTTTTATGAGCATGTAAAGCCAGCACTGCCCGTAGTTTTCTTTCCAAGTTGGAATAGATCACTCTCTTTTTGCTTGAACACCACAGGAATCATCTGGCCTGTGTTCAGGGAGCCATGTTGTGTCCAGCTGAATTTGTGTAGGGATGTGTCTCCACGTACAGGGAGGATCATATACCCTCTGGGCCAACAGCGGCCTCCAAGGGAGAGGCACCTGAGAGGGAGGAGCTCTGGAGGGAGGTGAAGGCCTGTGGCCTGTCCCTGCTCACCCTTGCTGACCTTGAGCAAGTCGCCTAACCTTACCACCGTTTTGTTTCCTTGTGTTAAATGAGGATCATACCTCCTTACAGGGTAGTGATAGGCTGGAGTGAGAAAACCTATGTGACAGGATCTTGAGTTCTTGGCATGTGGGTGCTCAGTCAGGGTTTTAAAAATTTTGCCTAAAAATCTCAAAACCATTTTTTTCTAATTATAAATGTAATATATACGTGTTCATTGTAGAGAATTTAGAAAAGTTGTCTCTATCAGAAAATGGCAATCACCTTTAATCCCCCATTGCCAGCAATAATCACTGTTTTTTATATACATCTTATACAGAGTGGGGTAAAAGTGGGCTTATAGTTGTTCATATGGAAAATAATACAATAATTAATAGATAATACAAAAATAAACTGTGTTTCACATACTCACAACTATAAACCTACTTTTCCCTCACCCTGTGTAAGGTTAACAATATTAATTATCTCAAGGCCTCGGCCGGGTAGTTCAGTTGGTTAGAGCATTGTCCCCGATACGCCAAGGTTGCGGGTTCGATCCCAGATCAGAGCATGTACAGAAGTCAACCAATGAATACATAATAAGTGGAACAACAAATCAATGTTTCTCCCTCTCCCTTCCTCTCTAAAAATCAATAAATAAAAATTAAAAAAATAAAAATCTCAAAAGTGTTTCCCCATGTGGGCAGCACTCTATCCATGCCTCCTAATAAGACCCTCCCCTGATCCCAAGGGGCCTGGATCATTGCTATGATTTCAAGAACTTAGGACCCTGGGGACTGTGTACACCATGCAAGACATCCAGACTGAGTTCCAGTTTTGAATGTCTTCCCTTAAGATCCAAGGAGAAGGCATTTGTATTTCAGTCTCCACGTAGCAAAGTTTTTAAGAGCTCAGATGTTCTTAAAATAACATTCAGGCCTGGGAGCTTTCCTTAGAGAAGGGAGTGTGTGTGGATCTGCATGGAAGAGACTAGCATCAATTGGTAGAGAGTGTGGGTCTCCTCAAACTGACTGAACTTTTTTGTCTACTGTGACTTTGTCACTCCAGAATCCAAGTCTGGCTCTCGGTCCCGTAAGCAGCCACCCCGGAAACACAACCGGTCCTGGGCTGTGCTGAAGCTGCTGCTGCTGCTGCTATTGTGCGTGGCTGGCGGGCTGGTGGTTTGCCGGGTGACAGAGCTGCAGCAGCAGCCCGTCTGCACCAGTGTGAACACCATCTACGACAATGCGCTCCGGGGTCTGCGCAGCCACCACATCCTCCAGTGGGTCCTGCAGACCAATTCTCAGCAGTGAGCTTGTCCTCAACACCTGCTGCCTCCCAGCCTTGGAACTTGGATTCCTATGGAATTGGGTTCTGCTGGACACAACCTCTTTTTAGCGTCAGACCTACCTGCCGTCATTAAATGGCTGCTGATTGGTACTTGAGGCCTCCTCTTTTGTAGGACTTCTTTGTTCCTTAGTCAGGGTTCCCTGATGGAATAAGAAGTGGGAGTTAGGGAAAGGAAAAAACCTGCAGGCCTAAAGGAATATGCTTGGGGTGGGGAGAGGAAAAACAGCCTTTTCTAGTTGTTATACGAAACTGTAAAGGCAAGGCTCATTTCTACTAAATGGTCAGCTGTCACTACATTTATATGTTTGTGTGTCACAAACCCTTTCATTCCTCCCCGGGTAGCCAGGGCAGATCAGGAGGCAGTGGGTTGTTTTTGGGGACTAGGAATACCATACTCAGCAAATCTAGCCTAAATCAGAGGTAAGGAGCATACCTATTTTCTTAAGGATCTCAGGCATTCAGACATTTTAATGACCACACAAAATCTCAGGCTCAGACAGGGACTTCAAGACTATCCAGTCCAATAGAACACTTGCAGATAAGGAACTTGAGGCCTTCCATGACTTGTTTATGGTCTCCCAGCTAGTTTGAGAGAGCTGGACTCCCATTCTGGTATTCTTCCTTTCCTATCATTTTGCCTTCCTTATAATGTCCTGAGAGAACAGAACTCACACCAGAATTGAGTCTCTCAGCCAGAGTATGGAATTTTTCATGTAGACAGATTCATGACCCACAGATAGAAATCTCATAGGCATGAGGTTCTTGGGCAGCTCCCTGTGGAGTCCTGCCCCTACTTATGTGGCTTCTATGAAATTTCTCCATTTTAGAGCATTAACCACCCCCCAATTGCCAATAAACAAGAAGGCAGAGCCTTGCAAAGCCACACTGTGACAGCTGTTAGTAGTGTGACTAAATACCTCAAAGGCAACCTGAACACTCCTGCATCATAGAGACTGAGGTTTAGAATTGTTTGATTCTAGACCTAGAACTATACCTATGCGGTGAAGGGAGTCAAGGAGCATCATGGCATTTAACAGTGGTCAAGCACTATAGTAACTAGTGCAATAAAGTGCAGGACTGCCATTCTCTCGTCTGCTAGAGTAAGTGCTTGCTTGCTTGCTCAGTGGCCTCCTTTGCTTCATCTTTGACAACAGCTGGATGAAGGGATCAGAGATGGCCATGTCATGGTGCTCATTCACTGAAATTTCCCAATTGCAAGCTCCTTGCCTCTTGCCCAGGAGAGCAAGAACCTGTTATGGCAATAGGGTCCAGGTTTTTAGCCATAGTGGCCCAATTGGATAGGACTGCCACTTGTGACTGTCCTGATACTGAAGAATGACTTTCCTCCCCCAAGGATAGCTCTGCTGCGTAGGCCCACACCTTACTCGGGATCACTACACATTCCTTTAGTCTTCCTCCAAGCTCCAGAGCCATTGCTACAAATGCTTTATTGAGACTAAACACATAGTACGTAAAATAGGATTAAGAGAATACAGAAGTCGGCATAGTGATCAGACCCGTTCCCTGGCTGGTTGAGGCAGCCTCAGTGGGTCAGAGGAAGGCTGGACACCCAGCCTAGTAAAGCCAACCCACCGAGGGCACTTCGCTCATGATCTCAAGATTTGATGCTGAGGTTCTTTTGGATTTTTACAATTATTAAATATATGTCTGAGTGCTCTGTGTTCCTTTGTTTTGAGGGCTGTTTCGGGCAGGGGCAGGGGTGGCTTCTGCATGGCAGTTGATTTTTGCCAGGAGACAAACACAATGCTGGTGAAGGTAAATGCAAATATCTCAGCCAGTTGACAGGTAATGACACCTGGGAAAGAGCCTGTTGTGGGCCTGGCCCAAGCTCGTGCTCCAGAAGGCACTTCCAGTCTCTTCATTGTAGTCATGTCCTGAGGTGGGTGAGGAGGAAATCTCCAGCTTTTCATCCTGTCCCCAGGGGCTAGCTTCAGTCTGCACTGTCTAAAGAGAGATGAGGCTGCAATGTGGTCATCTGAAGGTAGATACGCCTGGACAGCTCTGGTCCAATACGGCGGGAGGTGGATGTCACGCCTTCCCCACGGCGCACCAGGATGTCTGCAAGCAAATTCTGGCGTTCTTGCTCCGAAAAACACTGCCTATAAGCCTGAAAGTGGAAATTGATCTCTTAATACCACACCATTCAGTCATCCCTCATCTAGGAACAAGGGTGTGGGGAGCTTGGGTTGAGGGATGAGAACCTGTCCCCCCACCCAGATCAGTGTTAACTCGGATCTCAGCAGACCTACACTGTTGACCTACAGGATAATCTTGGGCCCTCACCAATGCTATCCATGAAAACCATCTGGGAGTCCCACTGAGGCCACAGGGCAGTGGGCAGTGGCCCCTGGAGCAGCATACCTGGACCAGGAGCTGTGGGGAGGGATAGGCGGCCACAATAGCACTGGCCATTTCCAGGCTGACTCGGTTCAGCTGCTGAATCTGCCTCCTCCAGACGTGAGCAAGTCCCCTGCCAGCACGGTCCACCTTTGCTCCTCCAGCCCAGTCACTCTCCAGGCAGAAGGAGAAACCAGTTTGATCTCGGAGTTTCCTGAAAACGGCAGATGAAGAGCTGTGAGTGACTGGTTACTTTCCTGCACCTATCCCCTTAATTGGGAACTTAAACCCCTCCCTCTAGTGACCTTGGAAGAGGAGGGCACAATGTTTTATCTTGCTCACTTTGATCTCAAGCAGTGCTAGTTGCTGATTCCTTTAAAAACATTTCATTGAAAGAGAAGGTACCAGATCTTTAGTTTATGTTGAGATTCGGTTGCACTGACCAGAGTGGCAGTGCACAGAGTCAAACACAAGGGACTAGGTATCAAGCAATATGCAGTCTAGTTCTGGTTCTTCTTACTTGCTAGGAGCTTGGGTAAGTCAGTCTCTTCAGGCCTCAGTTCCCTCAGGTAGAAAACGAGGTACTCAGATTAGATTGTCTCTGAGGTCTCATTAATTTTAAATTCTGACTATGAACACTCCTTGAACTAAGTAAGCTAAAAATTTTACTTTACGAGAGCCTAGCATATGTGACCTGACCTGTAAATGAATCCTGGTAACCTGGCCTACTGGTGAACCAGTACCAACCTGCAGGACACAAATACATAAGCTAAAGCAGAACATTTTAAAGGGACTGGGCTTAAGGGCTCTTCCCCAGAATACCCCCGAGTGAGGTCAGCTCCTGCTTCATGCTTGAGAGAGCAGAGTTCAGAGGAAAGGGACATCTTTGGGTAGCAGAAGCACTGTAAAGGACAAGATCGAGCAGTGGGGCTGGGATTTGCCGGGGCATTTACTTGAAGGGCGCCTCAGCCACAGCCTTTGTGAACGTGCACGTGAAGTCGGCCAGCTCTTTCCAGCTCTGCACAACTCGAGCCTGGGCATGTGTGTGTAGCTGCAGATCCACCAATGCCTAAAACCCAAAGGAAGATAGACTGGAAGGGCAGTGAGACTGGTCTGAAGTAGTTCTTCCCTCCCTGTTCACTGAGGCTGCACCCCAGCCCCTTGGCTCCTGTTTGGCCCCTTCTCTCCCACTTAGTGCCAAGGTACAGAGTACTTGCCAGCAGGCATTTCACTCTTTCTCAATAGCAAATTGGGTTAGATAAGAGTGGGTGCCCAGCCTGACTCAGGTAACAGGACGTTCTTACCTCCTCCATGTCTACCCTGGACACCACAGGCCCTGTGTTGGCCTCTGGTGGCCTACGCTGCTGCTTCTCCTTGGCCTGTTCTCTGTTTGCCACTCCCTGTTTCCTTTTCCTTGGAGGATTTGGAGCACTGGAGCAGGGAAGGGAATCAAAAAAGGGCGGCACCTTTAGGCTGAGCTGAGGCAGAAGAGATGCGAAAAGACTGGACCAGAGCATCCCACAGGGCTTGGCAGGGACACTATCTGGCAGAGGTACCCAGATCTGGAATGAATAAATTCTCCCATTGGCCCAAGAGCTGCCCCTTTGGATGCCAAGTCTTGAGGACAAATTCAAACCTGAAGTATTTCTCCTGATCCACAATCACCAGTGACAGAGCTTTCCCCGCTGTCCTGGCCGTGATGTCTGTTACAAAGCTCTGAAGTGTTTCCTTTCCTTTCTCGGTGCAGCCTAGACTTCCCTGCATAAAGGGGCAGAAACTGCATTCATGCTTGCTTCCTAGAGTCAGTCCTCTGTCCCATGTCTCAGTGCCCACCCATCCGGCTCCACCCACCTGCTTGAAGTTGTGGATCATGAACACAAACGCCTTTGCCAGGAGCAGCACCAGGACCATTGGCTCCTCCACACAGCCCTCCTCTCCATCCTGCCAAAGTACCCGGAACCCAGAATGGGGAGCAAGTCAGCAGGTGCGCAGCACCTGTGAGAGACCCAGGCCTTCTGGGGGAGGAGCTCACCCCCATTGGCCTAGCCCATTCTGCTTTATTCTTTTTCTTCTGGAATGAAGTCATGGTGGCAAGAACCACCGACTGATGATCCTGTCCCTCCCCAGTCCTCAACTATTCAGCCTTGGTATATTGCATCTCAAAGGATAAGAAAGGAACATTAGTGAGCTGAAATGGGCTGAGAAAACTATGAGCTCAAATAAAAGACCAAAAAAATAATGTTTCATCTAAATAGACTCTTGAAAATGTGGAGTGAAGTGGAAGGTACAGGAGCTATAGTCAGTCACCTGGGGTGCCTGGGCCAGGAAGGAACATGTGTCTATCTGATTGGTGATCTGATTTAGTCCCCACAACATGGGCGTACTGAAACAGATGTAACAGTGTCCTCATTTTATACATGAGGCACAAAGTGATGAAATAATTTGCCCATGGTCACAGAAATAAAGCCACAAGGCTGCGATTCAAACACAAGCCCACCTAGTCCCAAAGCCCAGTTAGAATTCGGAATCCTACGCAGATTACCTTCCCTCTGCCCCACAGATTCACTCTCCACCCTTTCCCACTCTGCTCTCTGCCCACGGAGGGTGATCTCTACAGACCACATCACAAAGTCTGCATGCCCTCTGGCTGGTGGCCGGTGGAAAATCCAGCAGAAGATTGGAGGGAGGGAGGAAAGTGAGGTGAGGGTATTTCTTTCCCTGGCTCCTTTCCAAAAGGGTGACCTCGGGTTTGCTACACTCCTCTACTGGAGGTCAAGCTTGTGTCAGGTGGTCTTCTCTAGATTTCTTTCCTTCTGGATTCCAGTAACCACTTCCTCCTCTCATCCCTTCAGGCCTAGGCAGGGTAAAAACTATGGTAACCTGGTGGTACCCAACCAGGGCGATTTTTCCCCAAAAGAAACATTTGCAATATCTGGAGACATGTTCCATTGTCATGAGTGGGGAAAGTGTTACTGGCATCTAGTGAATAGATGGCAGAGATGCTGCTAAACATTCTACAATGCACAGGACAGCCCAGGACAACAAAATGATCTGAAATGACAACAGTACCTGAGGTGAAGAAACTGAGTTAATGCTGCTATAACCCTGAAGTACTGCATTGTCCTTTGTAGTTTCCTTGTACCCTGCCCACCCCTTGGAAAACAGTCCCTTTATTAAGTCTTCCTCAGTTATCCTAAGTTGTGTGTACCATCTGTTTTCTTGCTGGGGCCTTGACTGATATGTACAAAGGAGAGAAGGAAGAGGAGACATAGCAGAAAACTCTTACCGCAGCTGGCCCGGCCCTTCTCCTCCAGGTGATACTGCACGGCACGGCCTGTGCCTCAATCACACAGCAGCACTCCATGGATTGCAGTGCTCCGAGGAGCTGGCCCCCGCCTTCCATCTGTAAAAGCACTGCAACAGACAGGAAAGGGCTGTCAGTGGGTGGCCCAGGAAGCAGAAAACTTAGCACATGGTGAAGGCAAATGCTACCAGGACCTGGATCCAGCACCACAACGATGTGTTTTAAGCACTCCTCTGGCCTCTGGGCTTTTGGTCTGTTAACCAGTGCTGCCTTTTTTTCCCTTTGTGGTTGTCTCACGGTGTTTTCCTTCCGGCTTGCTTGTCCCCGCGGCTGGCATCCTTGCGAGCCTCTCCTCTGGACCTTCTGGCTGTGCTTGGTTCTCTTCTGAGGTGGGGGGACCTCAGCATTTGTTTGGGTTACTGTCAAGCTTAAGCTCTGGAGAGGGCAGATAGCTTCGTACGCTGGAAGCTGATGGCATGGATTGTCTACCATACGGTCCTTATTATTCGATGTACACCTCTCTGAGGTGTCATGCAGGGGAACATCAGGGGTCATCGGAAAGGGCTGTTTTTTCCAGTCACATGATGCTCCATCATTTTTGTGATCCAAAATGCTTTTAACTGGGGAGCTAGAGTCCTCAGGGCTCAGCTGCTTGTGGGTCAGAAACTTACATGTAAGTCTCTCAGCCAGGGGAAGAAGTTCCTCCTCATCCTCACTTCCACTACTTAGCACCTTGACTGGCTGTGTTCGTGTGGCAGTTTCAGCCGTGTCTGGGACAGGTGACGGATCTTTCAATCTTGGTGATGGAGGACAGGAGGCCTCAGAATCTGAGGTGTCAACCACTACGATCTTCTCCTCCCTCTGAGGCTGCCTCCTCTTTGTTGAAGATGGTTCCTTCTTCAAAAAGGTAAATACTGGCAACTCCTCAGCATCACTCTCACTGGATTCCAGTGACAGTGATGACTTCTTTAGAGCCATCAATAATGTGCTATCAAATTCTCTAAAGAAACAAAGAAAGATGAGACACAGACTGTAGCATTCAATTCAGTCCACTAGATGTGTTCTATGGCCAAGCTTTATGGAGATAAATGAGATATATAAAGAGAAATAAGGCATGTCAACACATTCAACCTGGAACTCAGGACAACTACACCTATAGTCTAATAGGACTCTCCTCAAATCCCTTCTAGGTCAAGGTGAGATATAAATGAAGTAGAGATTATTAATACAAAATGGTAATTGGGGAATAACCAGATTCACCCCCCGTTCCCACACTGATCTTTGCATTTGAAATGGAGATGACAAAAAGTCATCCTTTTTTTTAAAAAAAAATTGATATTCACGTCATAAAATCCATTCTTTTAAGGTGTACAGTTCACTGGTTCTTTGTATATTTGCAAGGTTGTGCAACCATCACTAGGTATCTAATTTCAGAGTGTTTTCATCACCCTCAAAAGAAATCCCATAGCCATTAAGCAGTCACTGTTCATTTCCCCTTCCCCCAGCCCTTGGCACCCACAAATCTACTTTTGCCAGTTCCGGATATTTCATATAAATGAAATAATACATTATGTGGTCTTTTGTGACCGGCTTCTTTTGCTTAGCATTCAAGGCTTATTTATGTTGTAACATGTTTCAGTACTTCATTGCTTTTTGTGGCTGAATAATATTCCACTGTATAGATATGCCACATTTTGTTTATCCTTTCATCACTTGATGGGCATTTGGTTTGTTTCCACTTTTTGGCTATTATGAAAAATGCTGCCATTGAACATTCACGTATAAGTCTTCACGTGGGTATGTTTTCAATTACCCTGCATACATACCTAGGTGTGCAACTGCTGTGTCATGTGCAAGAGTCATTCTTTGAACAATTATATACTAACTGGAGATGTGAGCCAGGATGAGCCAGGTAACCTTCCTGGGCGTCGCTTTCTTCTTTAGTAATACAGGAGTAATGACAATACGTATTTTATAAGGCTGTGAGGAGTAAAAGAAACCAAGCATCTTCTACAGCGCTCAGTACAGTATCTGGCACACAGTAAGAGCTCCGTAAAGAAAGCCCAATGACTAAGGACGCACCTCATCCCTGTCCTCTGGCAGAGCCTCCAAAGACTCCTGCAAAATGAGGGAGCGAGGCCCGCGGGCCCTGCAGGGCACTCTCCTCAATTCATCCGCAGCCCGCGGCAGAGGCCCAGGCCGCCCGGGCCACCAAGCCCCTGTGGAGCAGCGCTCAGGAGGGAAACCCAGCCTGCCCGCCGCTCCGCACCCGCACCCGCACCCGCACCCGCACCCGCACCCGCACCCGCACCGGCGCAGTTGCCTCACCTGCAACTTCTCCCGCTACTCTTTCAAGTAACACGCAGGACCCGGAAGTACATCAGCCGGGAGCGGAAGCAGAAACTGAGACCGGAAGCGTGTGTGCGGCAAACATGGCGTTGGCGGCGCTGGTGTTGGGGACGCGGACAGCTGGTAAAGGGTCGCGTGGCCGTTCCCGAATGAGGGGTGGAGGTGGGATGGAGACCTCGCCGGGAGCCTCGGGGGCGGAGGTGGAGGCCACTCCCTGCGGGGGACCCTGGATGCGGGGCGTGGGCAGGAGAGGGTGGGCCCACAAGCTTTGAGGGGCGGCTGTCGCTGATCACGTGGCGTGTAGGGCGCGGAGCTGTGCGTGGTTGTTGGAGGAACACGTGTACTTCCCCACCCAGCTCGCGGATACAGCTTCCCTAGCGATTGACAGGGGCTCGCCGCTTCCCCCTTCTGGTTTTGTTTGGACACTTTCATCTATAAAAATGGGTTACTAACCTTGGCACACTGGAGCTCAAAAAGTTAATCTGCTCTCCCAACAGATTGAGGACTTATTTTGTGCCACACTGGGGATCTCAGGACAAGAGAAGACATAGTCTCTATCCCCTGGACGGTTCTTTCTAGTGGATAACCCAATAAATGAACACATAAATAAAATGTTGTAAATAGTGACAAGTCCTGTGAAAGAAAGCAAGTGTGTGTGTGTGTGTGTGTGTGTGTGTGTGTGTGTGTGTCTGTGTGTCGGTGTGTCTGTGCCTCTCTGTTTAGGTTGAGTGGTCAGGAGAGCCCTCTGAGGAGGTAACATCTAAGTTAAGACCTGAAGGATGACAGGAAGCTTAGCTCTGTAAGAGAGTGAAGGGCAAAAGAGTGACCTGACTCAATTTTAAATTTTGAAAAGCAAACTCTTGTTATGTGAATCTAAAGAGGGTAGGAATGGAAATTAGGAAACCAGATGGGAAGCTGTAATAGCAGCCCTGGTGAGGGATGATTTAGCCGAGATGTTAGTGTCAGTGAATTTGGAGGCGGATGGATGGATTTGAGATCTGTTTCGGAGGTAGAACCCACTGAGCTTGCTGGTGAACTGGACATTTGAGGTGAGAAAAGGGAAAGAATTTGCAATGACTCCTTGATTCTGCCTGAGCAACTGCACAGGTGGTAGCATCATTTACTTTGAAGAGAAGGCTGGGGAGTAGGGTGAAGGGCAAAGATTTGTGAATGAGATACTGTAGGTAAAGCAAAAGCCCAGTTCCTGAGCTTAAGTGATTGAGTGAACAATGAATAGGTGTTTTTCTTTAAAACATGTTTTTATTGATTTCAGAGAAGAAGGGGGAGAGAGAGAAAAACATCAATGATGAGAGAGTCATTGATCGGCTGCCTTCTGCCCGCCCCCTAATGGGGATCCAACCTGAAACGGGAGCATGTGGGAGTTGAACCACGACCGCCTGGTTCATAGGTCGACGTTCAGCTGCTGAGCCATGCTGGCCTGGCAATTTAAAAAAAAAAAAGTCTTTAGTGATTATGAGTAGTTTTTTAAATGTAGGTAGGCTGTGGTGCTGGGCACTTAATGTGCTGTCTGTCCAGTCCTTATCTCTGGTCCTTTGCCTCAGTTAGTCTCTGTTCTCATTAAAACTTCAGAAACTTAGGCTTTAGGAACTCTGAACTTATAGACTCCAGAGACCCACCAGATTTCTCTTAGGCCTGGCATGTCCCTGATTAACCATGGCCGTGTCTGGAGACCTGAAGGCAAGGACTGCCAGCCCAGGGCTTGTCGTAGAGCAAGTGGCTTCCATCTTGGTTAGTATGAATATCAGTTCACTTTCCTTTCTAAAACAAGTGCCATTGAGCACTTTGGAATAAGAGGTCAGATTAACAGGGCAGTGCGTCTTCTTGGTTCGACCTGCCCTTGGTGGGCTTGCTGAAGAAAGGGTCCAGCCTTCTGAAATGCCAGGGTCCTGTGGGAGCCATCCTTAGAGAAGTTACCCTTTTAGTTTACAAGCATCTGGTGTGCAGTGGATGGGTGAGTGGCTAAGGAAGTGGTGGGTGAGGCTAAAGAAGGAGTCTCTCTCTGGGTGTCCTGTTGCTGGGCTCTGTGGTCTGGCCCCTCCACAGTGCAAGGACCCTTGAGGGCATGACGGTGAGTGAGGCTGAAATAGGCAGCTCTGTGGTGTCCTCTTGCTGGCTTCTATTTCTGTGGTGTTTGTTTCTCCTCAACAGGACTGAATGTGTCAAGACCCAGGGTACATAGAGTTTTGGGTTTTTTCCCATTTATATTTTGCTGTCCCACCCCTCATCCCCTGGCCACACACACACACATCCCATGCAGTGCTTACATTCTGGACAATACAAGGAATGACTTGTCTCCCCCATGGGAGAAGGCCAAGGACTTCAGACACTCCCTAAAAACCAACACAGTCAAGTGGCGTTTCTGCTCACATATTCCCTCAGCTTCCCTGCCACTGCCTCCTGTCACCCCTCAAACTAGCAAATGGCCCACTGGGGCAGAGAAAGAGAGTCTGTCTGAACAACATTTATTTTCTCTCTGCAGCTACAGCCCTCCTGAGGCCCCCTCAGGCTGCAGCTCTTGCCGTCAGATATGCATCCAAGAAGACAGGTGGCAGCTCCAAAAACCTCGGTGGAAAGTCACCAGGCAAACGCTTTGGCATCAAGAAAATGGAGGGTGAGGGTGTGCCTTTGCTTCCATTTCCCAGCTGTACCATACCTTGTGCCCCTGGAGTTCCTTTGCAGAGCAGGAAACCACGCAAAGCCCGGCCCAGTGGTGCTCTCTGCTTAGCTTACCAGAGCATTTGGCTCCAGATTAAAAAGGCAGATAAAACCTGAGGCAGGGTGGGAGGTCTGAGGAAGAGCAGATAGTGTGAACCTTGAACATGCGACTGGAGAGAGGAGACTGCTGGGTGGGGAACACGGAGCTGCTTGTGTTGGACCAGCTGGGAGTTGGCTTTATCCAGGGGCAGGCTTAGAGGTTGGTGTGCAGCATTTGGGCCAGGAAAGCATGGGCCATCATGTTTTCTTAGCAGTTTGCTGCGCTGTCCCATAGTCAGTGCACTTGTGGACTTCTCTTCTAGGTCACTATGTTCATGTCGGCAATATCCTTGGGACTCAGCGCCACTTTCGCTGGCACCCAGGTGCCCATGTGAGTTGTTCTGTACTGCCCCCCCATTTCTTTCCTGGGACCACCTCTCCATGCTCCTAAGCACAGTAATAATAATAAAACAGTTGGATTTATTGGGTACTTACCAAATGCCAAACATTATGCTGATTCCTGGGCCTCCATTATCTCATTTGCTGCTTACCCCATTCCTGCAAGGTAGGTAGGTATCGTCTCCAGTTTACATGGAAGGTGCCAGAGACTTAGAGAGGGGCGGCGCCAAAGTAACAGAGCTGGGATTTGAACCCTGTCTGCCTGACTCCCAAATCACTGTGTTTTGCCTTGGTGTAGCATTGGGTTTCCTTTTTAACCCCCAGTTCTTGGAGAAAAAGATGCCTAGTGATTTAAAATACTTTCTGAATCTTGGGTAACTAATTTTAATTTATTCATTTTTCTTTATTTCCAAGAATTCCTCCTTTATATAAAGTTGTTACTAGATGGCTAAAAGATTGCTTGAATTTAATACAATAGAATTGAATGTATCAGAAATTAGGTCTATACCAGACAGGGATTTCAGTTCAGCAAGTCGGGATTACTTTCTGAGGTAGGAAAGTTCTCTGGTAACACAGGTCTATGCTGTACTCTTCACATTATTTTAAAATTAGTTTAGCCCTGGCCAGTGTGGCTCAGTTGGTTGGAGCATTGTCCCGTACACCAAAAAGTGGTAGGTTTGATTTTTGGTCAGGGCACATACCCAGGTTTCGGGTTTGATCCCTGATTGGAGCACATGTGAGAGGTAACCAATCGATGTTTCTCTCTCATATTGATATTTCTCTGTCTCTCTCTCCCTTCCTCTCTCTAAAATCAATTTTTTTTAAATTAGTTTTTTTTGTAATCGATGCCCCCACACCCCACCCCTTTTTGAGCAATTTTAGTAGGAACAGAAGGACTGATAGTAAACTATAGTTATTGCAAAAATACTAATCCATATGTGAATTGATTGTATTTGTGTAGCTTTCTATATTTTTTTTATAATTTGTCATTGTTGAAAGTATTACAGATGCCCCCCCAACGACTCCCTCCATCCCACTGCCACCCCCTCCCCAGGCCTTCCCCACACTATTGTCCGCTTTATCTTTTAGAACTTGAGGCTTTGGCTATGTAGCTCTGTTAACTCTTGGGACTTGCTAAAATAATAACAACAATAATAAAAGCCAGCATGTTTTGAGCTAAGGCATTCAAAGTAGTCTAAGCTCTTTGTGATTGTTAACTTGTTTAATCCTCGGGTGATCCTATAAAGTAGTTAATATTTTCCCTGTTTTACAGATGAGAAAACTGAGACTCAGTGAAGTAAAGTAACTTGCCCAGATCAAACATAAAAAGTAGTAGTGCTGGGATTTGAACCAAGCATCCTGGCTCCGGAGTCTGTTCTCTTAATCAGAGAAGTAATAAATAATGGTGGACTGCCTGGGTGGAATAGTCACACATCTAATCTCAAGTTCTAAAAGAAAAAAGCTGAAATATATATTGTTAAAGAACTACATATAACACACAGTTTATTTAATCACTTTGCTCGTGTTTCTTGTCTGAAAAAGTTAGAAATAGTACCTACTAAACAAAGTGAGAATTAAATGAGTTGATGCATATAAAAAGGCTTTAGTATCATATATTAGTATTATAAAAGGGCTTGGAATAGTACTTACACTTGGTAAAGCACTATATGTAAATATTACCTAATATCATTGTTTTATTAGCAAATGCACTGCCCAGATAGCTTTGGTCTATTCTTTTGTTAAAGCCTAACTTGATATATCACTATTTAACTGAAAATGTATGTCAGACCAGTGTTTAATATGACAACTCCAGTATTTTTGAAGTCTAAGTGAGACAAGCACCCAGAGGCAGTGAGTAGGGCCATTTTCCTAGGCCTGTTTTGGGGATCTTTCCAGTATGGCTCTGGTCAGCTACATAGACGTGGGTCTAGATTAACAGCCCTTGGGGACTGAGCAGCCACCTGGATTGGCTGTTTTCTTTTCCTCCTCTGTCATAGAGTCAGTAAAGAAGTAGAAGGCAAGGCAGTGTCAAGCAGTGGGAAAGGAACCCAACATGGAGCTTTCTGAACCCTTCCCTTTGGCCCCAGGTCCTTACTCCTTATGGAAGTGTGTCCTGCAGCCCCATGATGGACCACCTACCCTGCTTTCCCTGTATCTGAGCAGCTGTGTGTGTTGCAGGTGGGGCTAGGGAAGAAGAAGTACCTGTATGCCCTGGAGGAGGGGATCGTCCGCTACACTAAGGAGGTCTACGTGCCCCATCCAAACAATTCTGAGGCTGTGGATCTGGTCACCAGGCTGCCCAAGGGTGCTGTGCTCTATAAGACTTTTGTCCACGTGGTTCCTGCCAAGCCCGAGGGCACCTTCAAACTGGTAGCTATGCTTTGAGCTCCCAGTTGAGGCCTTTGGACAGAGACTGGAGCCCAGGTGACAGGAGCAGGTGTGCCAGAAGTCAAGAGCTGGGGTGACAACAAGGCCTCCCAAGGAAAAAGACTGTGAAGGGACTGGCTGGGAAACCCGTTGGAAACCTGACCCAGGGCCAAAAATAAAGTTAGCTGGAGTCACAAGTCTGTGCTATTTGGGGACAACCTGGATCGAGCTGCTTATTGATTTGTTGGTCTTTCTGTATGTTCTCTAGTGTACACCAAGGGGGAACCTCCAAGCAGAAAAGAGGCCTGTCAGAGTGAGCAAGTGACAAGAGGGAACTTTCTTTGAGGAGGGGTGTCGCATGGTGCTGAAGCAGGGAGCGGGGCAGTCCTGGGGATGATAAAGGATGACTCAGTGAAGCTCAGGATTTAGGGTCAGTGAGCCAGAGAGTAGAGCCCAAACTTCCTGTCCCCTTGCACCTCTCCCCACACCTTTAGCTCTCCCCACTGAGTACAAGGCTCAAAGCTCAGACCCCCAGCATTTCTGAAATGCACTGGGGTGTAAGATTCCACTCCTTTCTGGCCACTAACTCCCTCTCCACGATCTGGCAGCCAACTCTGATGACCTTGGGTGGGAGAGTTAGAGAAAACCTCCTCCTTCTGTCCCCACATCTCCATCCTCTTTTTTGGTGCCCAGACAGGGTTCAGAGCCTGGGGAGGCTGCAGGTCAGAAGGTTTATTTTGCTTTCTGTAGCCAGGATCCCGTATGGTGCCTTGTCCCTGGGGAGGGGACTGACAGTACTGTAGTCACCACCTCCCCCCTCTCACAGAAGCCAAGGCTCTGGGCTGTCCCCTGGGAGCTAAGTGAGAGAGTGTGGGCCTCCAGTTGCTTGGAGAGCTGTCTTCATCAGCAGCTCCTAGGACTGAGTTCTGTTTAACATTTGCCAGGGAGGAAGCTGGCCAGGATATTACTAACCCTTTCCACACTGCTGCCCTTGCCTGGAGGGAACCCAGACTGGAAGATGCAGAGTCCAGAGAGTGTATTCCAAAGGCCTCTCCATACTGAACAGAAAGCAGGTGCCCTTTTATTGGGACTGAGGTATGGGGCACGGAGGGAAGGGGATTGTTGGGTCGGAGTGCTTATGTATTGGCTGGGGCTCTGGAAGAAGTGGCAGGAGCAGACGACCGGGCAGCATTGGGGCAGATGCTGGTACAGGAACAGCAGCAGGACAGACAGGATGAACTCCAGGAGGAAACTACCTTCCCAGAGGCAGGGCTTCAGCCTGGACCCAGCCTGCACAGACCTATCTCCCCTCCTCAAATTGGAATTCGGCTCCAGAAGTGGGGTAGGAATGAATGGCCTGGCTGGGTCTAGTATCAGCTTGACATGGAGGGGAAACTGCAGTGCAGGCAGCTCCCCATTGCTACTGCATGAACTCCCTGAGGCAGAGATTTTTGAGGGAGATCAGAGTAGCTGCACCCCGTCTCTTCCTTTAGCCCAGGGAAGGGGTGATCTGTGCAGGGAGTTTTACAGAGGGCCAGACTAAGGGAAGGACCTTGTGGCAAGGGTGGACATCCTTAGAAACAGTGATCTGAGGAGGCAGGGAGGACTCAACAATCTGAACTCAGACTCCTGGTGCCAGCCCCTCTTCCTCCATCATAGACTGTGGCATCAGAAATTGACACCCCCATGGCAGGGTACCTTAGGGATCACAGACCATACACAGCATTCTCCCCAGGTGTCTGGCTCCAGGGGACCCTGTAGATGAAGAGGCTGGGCTTCTGGCCTATAGTGTCCCTGCCCCCACCGTGGGATGGGACGAAACAGCAGTAGGTACCAGTAGCCACAACTATGGCTAGGAGGCTGTTGTCCATGATCTCTGCATGTGGAGCAGCAGTAGCAGAGGGGTGCCAAGAAAGGGCATTGTCCTTGAGTGACCTTAATAGCCAGCCTGGCTGGGCATGGCTCAGCAGTTGAACATCAACCTAGGATCCAGGAGATCAAGGTTCGATTCCCAGTCAGGGCACATGCCCAGGTTGCAGGCTTGATCCCCAGTTGGGGGAGTGCAGGAGGTAGCCGATCAGTGACTCATCATTGATGTTTCTCTCTCTCTCTCCCTTCCTCTCTCTGAAATCAATAAAGATATATTAAACAAACAAACAGCCAGCAGGGCCACAAGACTGGCTCTCCTTCCCACCCCAACCCCCAGGCCCCTGCCCAGGGCCACCTCCCAACCCAGGAACCCTGGCCCAGAGGAGCAGCTTCATTCAGAGCTGGGGTATCTGTGAGCAGCTCTCTAGCTTTGTAGCTTCTGCCCTGGCTTGTCCTGGTCAATAGCATGCCATGACATAGTGTCCCATAGATGGTACTTCCCCCTGTAGGCCTGGCAGCCACGAGGGTTCCTTCAGGAGAAGGGGTTGGCTGGGAACAGGCTTGGCTTCTGTTAAACTCAACAGCCAGTCAGGGGAGCTCCAACTCGCCCAGATCTCTGCACTTCTCATTCCCAGATTCCCTCCCAGCTTGACTCTGCCCCATTCTATTTCCCATTGGCCTGGGCTCTGGATGCCAATTGGCTGTCCTCTGGTCTTGGCTTCCACCACTAATGGAACCCAGGTGTCCATGGTTGCCCTGGAAACAGGGCACTCGGACCACAAAATACAAAAGCCCTGGCTCTCCCTCCAAAGGAATTGTGCAGCTCTGGGGTCCCAGCCTTCCCCAACTGGCCCCCCCACCCCCATCACTACCCCACGTCCAACCTGCCTGGAATCCTGATCTTGACCCCAAGGGAGGATTTCAAAGAAGCCTTAATAAGCCCAAGACCCTAGGCTGAGCTAACCCTACAGAAAGATGGGGATGGGAAACACTACTGGCAGAGAAGCTGCACTCAACAGTTGCTTCAATGACCTGGACAGGAGAGGAGGGCCTCTACCACCAAGCGTGCCCTCTGAACCTGTCAGGAGTCAGTGGAGCCTGGTTCCTGGTCTGCAGTGATTCTAACTCACCGGGCCAAGGCAAGCCGCCAGAGCAATGGGGGTGGGGCTGGCCTGCAAATTAGAATGGCCTGGGGGAGCTTTGAACCCAGACCATTGTTGGGTTTCCACCTCAGGCCAATTAACTCAGAACCTTCAGTTAGGATCAGAATTTACTGGGCTAAAAGTGCAGGTGACAATGAGTAACTAGAACCTGGTGTGACAGGGTGGGAGTGGCAGGGACTGAACCAGAGAGTGCTTATACCGCCCAAGTTCAGAAAATAAGACTGAAAACTGATACTAGCCTGACGGTAGCATAGCCACAGCCGGGTTAAACTTGCAGGCTGGTCTGTGAGTCCTTAGCTAGGGGTCTAAATGTTCTGATATTTACTACTTGGGTCTAATATGCTGAACCCAGTTGTTAATTTTTTATTTACCTCAGATTTGATGTTAAAAATACCCTAGAGAACCAGAGTAGAGCTTCCCAATGTTCACTAAAGTAGGGGCCAGAAGAAAACAGTTCTCTTAGCCCCTGAACCCAAACACTATTTTGGAGTCCTTGCTGTTAGGTCCCTGCTCTTGAAGCAGGATGTAGTGAAGAGTGACAGGGAGGCCTGCTCCATCTAAAACCTGCTGCCACCGGCCTGGCCGGGCGTGGCTAAGCGGTTGAGCATCGACCTAGGATCCAGGTGATCAGGGTTTGATTCCGGTCAGGGCACATGCCCAGGTTGAGGGCTCGATCAATGACTCTCTCATCATTGATGTTTCTATCTCTCTCTCCCCCTCTCCTTTCCTCTCTCTGAAATCAATAAAGATATATTTTTTAAAAAAATAAAACCTGCTGCCACCACCTAATAGCTATGACTTTGAGCTCACTTCAGTTTCATGATGTCCTAAATGAAGATAATAAAAGTGTCTGCCTCAAAGGATTCTGAGGATTAAATGAGATACTGCACAAAGGGTCAGCACAGTGGCTAAACTAATGGAAAACCTCAGTGTCGTTACTGGTGGTCAGGGGTGCCCTCTCCTGGCAACTGGGAAAACTTCACATGTGGCAGCCAGGGCAGGAACTGAGCCCTTTGTTCCCCAGGCTGAGCTGGCTGATAAAGGTCTGAGAACTCTTCACCCTCACTCCCACGTGAAGGTGAAGGAGATACTGAAAGCCCTTACTGGTAGGAGGGGAAAAGGCCTTGAGAAAAGGGGGGAAGCTGGATGACCCTTTCCAGCACAGCCGTCCCAGGCCTCAGGGCAGTGGCCAGGGACCCAAGCCACTGCTGCTCCTGCCCCTAAGAGGACAAGTTCCAAAGGTAACCCGTAGACTGTGGCTGGGATCACCTCTGTTCCTGGGGGTGCTCCATACTCAGGGCTGGGCGGAAAGCAGAGTGAGGAGGGATTCTGGAATGGGCCCTGGGGACACCACAGCAGCCAACATCTGCCTTGGCCTGGCGGCTGGGTCAGGACTCTCAGGAACTGAACTGGCTCTCCTGCTGACATTACTAGGTGGCAGTGAGGACATTTCTGAGCCTCTCTGGGCCTCTTTACCCCTCTGAAAAAGATGGAGCTGAATTAGACGGGTTCTTGCATCCCTTCTGGTTCTCAGATAGATTCTAAGCTGTTGCCACTCTTTGGGATGATACCTCTACCTTGTCGCTGCCGAAGTACCAGCCAAGACTTTTAGGAGCAGGCCTAAGAGTGATGGCTCCCTGACACCCAGGAGGAAAAACACAGAGGCTCGGCTTAGAGACATAGAGATATATTTCTTCTGTTGCATATTTCAGACTTCACACTGAGCTTCAGGCACAATGCTGCTCCAGGTTCTTCTGAGAGCCCTGACAGAGTCTTCCCATGCTGCTCATGAGGGCTCGCCCCTTCAGGGCAGGAGCCCAGGCCCTGCTTGCAGTTCTGGGTACCTGGGAGACTCTGCATTGGTCTCAGTAGGCCCTGGTGCCCTGCCTTTCCCATCGGGGAGCAGGGCATACTGGAAAGCCCTAGAACCAGCCCCACCCCCTCTTCTGTGTTCCCCTGGCTACAAAAGGAGAGGCTGTCCCACTAGAGTCCAGCTCTGCAGTGCTCCCCCAATCACCTGTTCTCTGGGCCTCAGAGCCTGGCATGGCACTTACAGAGCCTCAGCCATGAGCACCACAGGCCCAGGCTGGGGGACAAGGCCCTGGAGAGTGAGGCAGGCCCCACCTCCAGAGCAACAGCAGATGGGCTCATCAGGCCCCTGCTCCCCAGAGCCATGGCCCACTTCCTGGGGCTGCTCTGAGCCCTATTGCACATCTTTTGTTTCCAGTTCCTCTACCACCACCCATTTTCCTTTAAAAAAAAAAAATAGAGAAGGTTTGGAAGAGTGGGGTGTGGAAACTGGAGCCCTTCTCCCCACATTCATGCCACCGTCTGGTCCCCAGCAGAGCCGTCAGCAGTAGTAAATACTACGCCCCCCTTCCTTGCGTCTGTGCGGGTTCTTGATAGCTGACATGGGCGTATTGCCTGGGCCTCTGGTCCTTGCCTGTTGGGGGACATCCCTCTGTCGTCCGTAAGGTGCAATTCCCCAGGTCTTCTGGAGGTGCTGGCTGGGGCTCTGCTACCTGAGTCGCCCGTCTGCTTTGACAGGCCCCAGCTCAGATTTGGGGTCGGGGAACAGAGAGCTCCAGCTTGTCAGTCTGCAGAGCTCCAGGGAGGGGCAGGCAGAGGGGCCCGTGGCACATAGTCCAGCCACAGACCAGAGTTCGCTCAGTTCCCCATCTGTCCAGGCCTCAAGCTCCGGGCCTGTGAGCAAGGCGTGCCGCCGGGCAGCCTCCTCCGCGGGCTCTGGCTGAGGCAGGTTCAGGATGCCACTGAGGCCCTGGAAACTCTGCTCCATGTACTCATTGTGGGGGGGCCCGGCATGCAGCCAGCTCGCATCATCTGGGGGTACAAGAGCACAGTGCAGTCAGCACACCTGGCCCAACGGATTCCAGGAAGGCCAGACCCTGGGAGTCAGGTCTGGGCACCCCATTTTCTGTCCCAATTCTACTACTGAGTCACATCTTGCTTAGTGACCTGTGATCTCAAGCTATTCTCTAGAACTTTCTGTGCCTGTAAAACCATTAGTTTTATATAAAATTGAGACAGTCATCTCTGAATTCCCAACTTGAGGATTAAGTAAAATAGTGGGTTCGAGGCACTTTAGAAAATAAGGTAACTTTCCCGTAATGGTCTGGTTTGTGTGACCCCTGCCCCTTCTCAACCATCTCAAGTGGTCCCCAGAGCCATCGGAAGCCTCAGACGTAGGCCCTCCAGCTGTGGGGCCCTGCTTGCTTCGCCAGCCTTCTTTCCTGCGACCCCCTGCATCCTACTCCGCTCCACTCTGTTTCCCTCATGCACAAGACACCTGCCAACTTCGTTCCCTCAGCTTAGAATACCGCTCTGTCTAAAAAATACAGCTTGTTGCCCAGCCGGGCGTGGCTCAGTGGTTAAGCGTCGACCTAGGATCCAGGCGATCAGGGTTCAATTCCCGGTCAAGGCACATGCCCGGGTTGCGGGCTGCAGCTGATCAATGACTCTCTCATCATTGATGTTTCTATCTCTCTCTCTCCCTCTTCTTTCCTCTCTCTGAAATCAATAAAGATATATTTAAATAATAATAATAATAATAAATAAAAATAAAAAATACAGCTTGTTCAAGGATCAGCTCCAACACCGTCCTGCTGTAAAGCTGGCTTCCATTCCTCCTTCATGCCCTCCACCAGGCTGTTAGTCCTGGGAAAGCAGGGGTGCAGCTGCCTGCTCTGGACCTGCCACAGCCCCCCCACTACTCTACCCTCCTCTGGGTTACCCACAGTCTGACCCACCTTCTCTGTGATAAGATGTGGCCAGAGGAAGGAAACGTCTACCTACCTACTGCATACCTGCCACTTTTACCCACATACTCAACCTGAATGTCTCCCAGGGGTAGTTACTTGGGAGACGTAGGACCCCTTGAGGGAACCTGCAGCCTACACCTGTGTTCAGAGTCTACTCCCTTAGCCTCAGCCAAGTGGGTGGAAGGCCGTGTGACCCTGCCCACTGAGCCACACAATCAGATGTAGAACTTGGGGACCAAGAGGCCCTGGTCAGTCTCTGTTGCCCTGAGAGGCCATGTATCATGTATCAGGAAGCCAGAGCCTGAGGCTGACACACAGGACAGGACAAGGGACAGGAGGGCCTGAGAGACTGAGAAAGCACCCTTGGTTCCAGTGAGACCTGAGACATCTCCTGGGGCCTGAGGGACACAGCCCTGCATTCTTCCAATAATTCCCCCCTTTTTATTTGAGCTAGTTTGAGTGGATTTGTGTTCAGTGCACCCAGGAGGTCTCCAACAGTTCTATTTCTCCTACTTTACACATATTAAGACTGAGGCTCAGGAAATAGATTGCCAAGGATAAAAGCCCAATTAAAGTGTCAGAGCTATGTCCCAAAGCCAAGTCTACCTGACTCCAAAGCTCCCCTTTCATACCACAGCAGAGCCCTAGGATACTCAGGGGCAGATGACCAAGATCCCAACCTTCCCCCTTCCCCTTCTGTAGATGGGGGTCAGCTCTGATGGTCAGCTTCTTGGGGTCACCTCCCTGGCTTCTGGGCATCATTTAGGAACTAGGTCCTTACCTTTCCTGAGAGGTAGTTTGCGGTTGAAGGTCAAGGGCAGCACGAGGAAGCGGGTCTCACCCAGGGGTTCCCAAAATTGAAGCAGTCGAACAGTCCAGGCCCCTGGCCGCAGGGGCCGGCTCAGTGGGGGCTTGTACTGGGTAACCTCTGTCTCTGCGTCTACCACAATGTCGTAAGACGTGGCGACCACATAGGTGGGGTCTATCCACACCACGGTGGCTGTGAGGTTGGGGCCCCGGGCCCAGCGCTGCATGGCCACAGGCTCATCCAGTGGTCCCAGCAACCCCCCAAAGTTCCGGAAAAGACGCTCTTTGGGGTCCCACTCGGTGCCAACCTGTAGGGAGAGAAGCAGCTGGGCAAGAGCCTGGGGAAAAGTCCTCTCTACTCTGATACTGCCTCTAACGCACTGTGTGACCTTGAGCTAGTCACTCTTTCCTTCTGGGTCTCATTTTCCCAACCAGCAAAATGAAGATATTGGACTAGAATTTGTTCTAGGCTCCCATTCTGACCTGCTCTGCAATGGTGGGGCAGGAAGGCAGAGACAAGGTTCAAAGTCCAGCCCAGAGACCATCCCCACATGAAGCCAAGGCCTCTGAGAAAGAGACCTAGAGACATTCAAAAGCCTAACCTATGGCCTGAATGGAATGTCCAAGTCCCTCTAGAAGAAAATCCTTGTAGCTTAGATGAGGCTACATTATAGTGGAACTACAGTCCCCTCTCTGATCCCTGCGTGTCCACTGTGCACCCCAGGGGGGAGCTGCATGCAGGGGTGACCCAGGCACGTGCATGAGGCATTGCCAAGGCTGCCATCACTAGGAAAGAAGAGCCCATGAACCCAGTCCTGAAAGGCCCCTCCCTTAGTGTCTTCCCACTACTCTGAGTCTTGCTGGGGGTCAGGTGTCCCACCTCCAAACTCTGGAGCCGGCTGGCCTGGTCACTGCGCCCCAACAGCTTCAGCGACCCCCGGGGCATCAGCCACATCTCAAGCGTCTCTGCTGGCCCTTGGACTGAGGGCTGCACCTCCTGCGTCACCAGGTAGCCCTGGAAATGGTCGTCATAGAAATACAGGTGCACACTGGACGGCAAGCCCCTGGGCTCAAACCTAAGAAGGTTCCAGCAGGGAAAAAGGGAGATGCCATCAGCATATCCAACTTGGTCTGGAGTCCCAGGGAGGGGGCTCTGGGGAGTCCCATTCACAGGCATTTCCTTTGCCCCAAATCTCACACCCACAGCACCTATGTGCCTGGCTCTTGGCATCTGTGTTTTAGTTACACTTTCCCCTGCCTTAGACTGGGAACTCCATGGGGCCAGGGGCTGGATCTTTCTGATTGGCTTCCCCCTAAGTCACCACATCTTGAGGGCCTGTAATATGACAGAAGAAGGTCTCACCTGCACAGTGAGGTGGCCGGTGCAGGCGCAGTGGTGGCGGCATGGTGCAGGCTGAGGCGGGCAAAGGCGGTGTAAGCGGTGAGCATGACATCACTGAGCCCACTGGGGCCATCGGCCACATCGTAGATGTTCTCCCAGTAGGCCTTGAGGGCTGGCGTGCCGGGGGGGTAGCTGCCATACAGGTGGAAGTCCAGGATTTCCAGTACCTCCTGGTTCACAGTGGACTCAAACTTCCGGGCAAAGAAGGTGGGTCTGGAGACTTGCTAGAGTGGGAGAGGCAAGCAGGGTAAAGGGTCTGGAGGTCCCAGAGAGCACAGCAGGGGAGGGGTCCCTCCCAGCACTGCCCAGAGATCGGCCTCTGGGGCTTTTCCTGCCGCCACAGAAACCCCAGAGCCCCGAGGGCTGCTTGAGGTGAAGGCCCCAGCTCCTCTGATTGGCCCACTCTGGATCCTTTCTCACCCTGGTGAAAGACCGGGGTAAGGCCCTAGCAAGGGGAGCGTCTGGGGGCCCTGGGGAAGCACCTGCAGCCGTAGGAAGTCCTGCGGCTTGAAGTCATTGGGGGAGCAGCCGCACCAGTCCACAATGTGCTTGTACTGGCACTTGCAGCCCAGCTTGCGGTTCCAGTTGGTGACCCGCAGGTTGTTGTCCACAAGGCTCTCGCAGGCCGGGCTATTCTCCAGCACCGTGTGGAAGAAGGACTGTGGGTGGCAGGGCAGGGTGGAAGGTGAGCTGTGGGCACCCACGATGCTCCCTCCCTGGCCTGGGTGAGGGCCCAGGTCACCTACCTCGGCTGGGAGCAGTGTGTAGGTGTAGAACTGGCGCAGCTGGGCCACCAGTGGGTCATCTGTGTACACCACGTACTCCACGAAGCTACGCGTGAGCACGAACCAGTCAGAGCCGCCGTCCACCACGATGCCGGCCGGGATCTGCCGTTCTCCCAGGCGCCACATGTGCGAGTCACATTCATGGAAGAGCCGGTCCAGGCCCTGTTTCTTGATGAACCTGTGGGTAGCAGACCAGCCAAGGCTGGGGGTTGCGTAGGGTGGGGTCCAGACTCTCCTATCCACCTAAGAACCAGCACTCCTCTCCTCCATCTGTGATTGGTTTGCTGGGCACCCATCTGTGATTGCTTTGCTGGAGGGACTGCGTTGAGACCCCAGGGCCAGGGCCTCCTTCCCCACCCCCTCACCTGGAGTTGTCCCTGCCATGTGACTTGAGGAAATTCTTGTCCCGGTTCTTGGACAGGAAAGCCACCAGCTCTTCGTTGGTCCTGGAGAGGGAATGCGGTGTGGACAGTGTGTGTGAGGGGTTGCTCAGTCACTGGCCTAGAGCAGACTCCCTCCAGCCCTCATTACCTTCATCTCTTGGCCTCCTGGCCATGTGCCCTACCCCAAGTCAATGCTATGGGGTGGTGGGAACCTAAGACCCCTGAGAAAGACCACCCATCCTTCCTGCACCCCTTGCTGTCTGACCCAGCACCCACAGTACACACCTCTGCCTCCTCCTCCCCATCTCATCACTCTCAATCCTCACATTATCATTCACCAACCCCTCCCCGAAAACATGGCTGGGGACAAGGACCCCCCAACCCGAGTGCCCAGATGGCCCCCTCCCATCTGGAGGGTTCAGAGCACCACCCCACACCTGGTTGGGTAGTCGGTGGCACTGAGGTTGATGAAGAAGTCCCAGGCCCAGCCAGGCACCTCCAGCAGGTCCTGCATGCTCCGCAGATACATCCTCAGCAGGCTGGCCCCGCCCCAGATGGTGACCATGCGCCAGGGCGTCACCCGAATATTATCATAGTGCTGGGCCAGCTCCACCACCTCCCGGTGCAGGTAGTTGGAGCGCTAGAGGGATGGGGGAGTAGATATTCTCAGCAGCTGCAGGTGGCCCCCAGCATTACAACCTCCTCACCTACCCCACCCCGACCCCGGGACAGAGTACAAGTGACATGGAATGGAGAGCACACACATCACCTGTGCTGGCCGCTCTATTCTAGGCCTGTTTCCCTAAGTCTAGGCTACCCAAGCAGGTCAGAACCCCTGTCTGTTCGTGACCTTCTGGGTCTCCGCTTTGCTTACTCAGAACCCTTGGTCCCCCCACTGTACCTTGTCCACGTGGATATAAAAGAAGTGCTGCTCATGGTAGACAGCCTTGAGGAGACGTTTCAGCTGGCGGATGGCCCGGCCATGAACCACCAGCATGTAGGCAATTCGTACTGGGGGGCCCTCCATGGGCTGCTGGGCCCGGGCCTCATCCCACTGGATGCCGGGGTTCATCTTCCCTGAGTAGAGAGTAGGGGCATCAGTGAGGTCCCTCTCCAGGTCTCAGGCTGGAGGTCAGATGGGAAGAGGGAGCTGCCTGCCTTCCAAAGGAAGAATCCTTGGCTTGGAGTCCAACGCTCCTGGGTCCCAGGTATGCCTCTGCCACTTAGAGTACTTATCACCAGCTAGGCAAGGGAGGTGGGCCCCTCTGAGCTTTCTTCCTCTGAGGAATGGGGGTGGGATCCTTGCCATGTCACTTCCTGGGGCTGCCACCTCTCCACCCATGCCTGTCTCTTACCAGCCAGTTGGCAGTGCCGGGGCACAGCCTTGGGCATGAGGCTTCCGGCCTGGTGCAGGCACACCACATTGGCGATCTCTTGCTGGCACTGCTTGGAGCTGGCCCGGGCGAGCGCAGACAGCGCGTCCTTGCCCAAAATCTCGCACTTGGGGGTGAAGGCATTGTCTGTGGGCTGCGGGGCGCCCTCCACACTTCCTGTGTCTCCCTGTGGTGGGAAGCCAGCTGCCCCAACCAGGGCCTCCCCGGCTGCCGCCCCACTCAGGTTCTGGCGGCCAGGGGCCTCTGGGGGTGGGGCGGGAGGGACCC